GTGGCTCCTCTGCTGAGGTTCATTCCTTTCCTTCCCAGCAGTGCAGTGTAGGGGTGGAATTCCAAACCTGTGCTGATCCTCAAAGGGAAAGCTGCATGGGAAGAGTTTAGTATCCTGCATGGAAGTTGAGTAAACTGAGTGGGAACAGTGCATCCATGGAGGAGGAAGGGAGGGAGGTGAGGGTTGTTTAGGGTTATTTGCATGTTGCCCAGCTGAACTTATGGAATCATGGATGTGATGCCAAGGGATGTTTAGCAAGACTCGTGGCCTCTCTTCATTGCATTTAGCCTTGCAGGATATTGGTGTTTGGAGGAATTTTGGTTTGGAGGGAGGTTGGTGCTGCTGGAGAGGCCCAGACGACAGCAGGGATGGCTGGGCTGGGAGGTGTGGGGATGCTCAGGGGAAGTTTCTCCAGCTGCAGGACTCGAGCTCAGCATTGCACAAGAGTTTTGGTTCACTGTGGGCTCCACCACCAGAGAAGTTCTTCCTGCTTGTGCCAAGCAAAAGGGAAGAGCAGAGCAGAGAGGGGGAGGTCCTGTGTCAGCTGGAATGTGTTTGGGTCTGGAGGAAGAGACAAGTGGGATTTGGTCTGTGTGATGCTCACGAGGGCATGACCTTGGCCTGGCAGGGACAGGCTGGTGTGGGAACCACTTCTGCAGCAGCAGCACTGCTTCCCAGTGGGAGCAGACAGAGAGGGATGTGAGAGTGTTTAACAAGCAGAGGGGTGGCACGTGGCTGGAAAGCTGCTTTTGTGTGCTGTGAGGAGCTGGCAGTGCTGGGGAGGACGCTGAGCCCTGGGACAGTTGTTTGCCAGTGGGTGCTTGGGTCAGACACTGGTCTGAGCCAGCACAGCTGGGCTGGGTCTGTGCAGATGGGCACTTGGCAGGCTCTGGCAGGAGTTTGTTCCGTGTGTGGCTGTAGCCCAGATGAGTTTGCAGATTGCCCTTGGCCTGCAGGGCTCAGCAGAGCATCCAGCCTGGTTTCTGCAGTCAGTGTCGTGTCCTGGGCCCTTCAGCCTGTGTTCAGTAGAGCATCTTTGGGGTGGTGAGCCCAGAGCTGTGACACTGAGCTGAAGGAGCTGTTCCTGGGGCTCAGGGATCCAGAGATCCCTTAGCATCAGCTAAAGCTTGGCACCAGGCTGTGGTGTCCTGGTGGTGTATTCCAGGGAGTGTCTGCAGTTCCTGGTGTGTGCAGTGAGCTCCCCTGAGCCTGGCTGTGGTGGGATCCTGTCCTCTCTCCCTTCCCTGCCTCTGACCAGCAGGGCAGAGCTGTGGACACATCCACACAGCCCACCCAGACCCTCCTGGGGACGGGTTAGTCACGAGAAGCATTGAGTGGAAGCTCCTGTGGTTCCTCCCTCCGTGCCCAGGCCTGGAGTGGCATTTTGTACTCCTGTAATCCCTGTGTGCTCTGTTCTCCAGCCCTGACGTGTTCCCACCATCAGCTTCTTTCTCTGTGCATTGTTCTTTTGGTTCCTGTTTTAGCTACACACGTAGAGTTGCCTTTCTCTGACCGAATGTTCGAATGTGATATATTGTATATTTTAAAGTATTTACCCTATTTATATACTATATGTTACTGTTAAATAAATATAAGTTCCATTATCTGGAGTGGAGTTTTATTTGACTCCGTGGGATGCTGCAAACCTTTCCAAGCTCTGTAGAGCAGATCCATCTGGTTCAAACTCACATTGCCTTGTTTCTTGCCCTACAGCTCTCCATCCTCAGGGATTTTCCAGAGAGCAGACCTGGTTGTGGCAAAGACACAGGTGAAGGCTGCAGGTGGGCAGAACACATGGGCAGGATTGGACCATCTGTGTCCTGCATGAGGGGCACGAACAGCCACATTCCCAGTGGGATTTGTAGGGTTTGGATCATCCAGACCCAACTTGAGTCACAATGTGAGAAGTGTTGGCACCTTTGCCCTCTGCAAATCAGCTCGTTTCATCCTGGAGATTTCATTGGGAATGTGAAAAAAGGTTGGAGTTCCATTTAGCATAAATTATTTGTTCCTTTCAGCCCTTTCTCCTGACTTGCCTTGGGGTTACAAGGGCAGAATCACCTGCTTACCCAGGAAAATGCTATTTTTAGCTCATGTGTTATTTTGACTGTTTTTGACTTAGCAGCTAAACCCAAACCAACCCATGAGCAGCTCTCATAGCTTCCTGTCACACTGTGTGGGCATTTGCAGGCACAATTAGCCTCCAGCAACAAGAGAACGAGACCTCAGAAGGGACCAAAGCCCCAACGTGTCACCAGTTCAGCACCCTGAAATATCCAGCAATGCACAGAGCAGTTTGAGGTCTTGAATGATCCCTGAGTGTTCAATCCTTAGGAAAAGGGACTCTGTGTGTCAGCTCTTCAGCTGGAGATCCCACCTGGTCTCTCCCCATCCTGTGCCAATTGACTCAAATCCAGCATGGAAACCTGCAAATTCCCAGGGGAAATCCTGGTGCTTGCTGTGCTCCAGACAGTGAGCCTCAAACCAAGGCTGTCTCTGACCTGCTGTCCAGACACACTTTCTGTGAGTTCCTGATAGAAGAGGGATGTAAAACCAAACCAAACAGCTTTATGGGCTGAGATTTGCCTTTTTCAAGTTCCTTTGGGATATGATAGGTTTAGATTGGATGTTGGGAAGGAATTCTTGGCTGTGAGGGTGCTGAGGCACTGGCACTTGTTATCCAGAGAGAGAAGCTGTGGCTGCTCCATCCCTGGGAGTGTTCCAGGCCAGGATGGATGGCCTTGGAGCACCCTGGGCTAGGGGAAGGTGTCCCTGCCCATGGCAGGAGGGGTGAAACAAGATGAGCTGTAATTCCATGATTCAGCTCAGTACCAGACTGCCCAGCTGATTGCTAGGAAAACAGTCTGGGATATCCTTCCCCAAAGCTGGAGTCAGTCTCCTCGAGCAGGAGGCAGCCAGAGCAGCTCTCTGGGTGCTGGGAAGGGCTGGTTTGGGGTGCCAGAGGGGGCTGAGCTCTGTGGTGTGACCACACAGCCTTGGGCTGAGCTGCATAACTTCAGGCTCAAACACAGTTTCCGTTCAGAGGAGGGGAAAGTGCCACATGACATCCTGCTCACACGGGAGGGTGGGAAAGGGCTGCTCCAGGCTGCTGCTGGGCTGCTGTGAAAAACAGGCTGGAAGGGAAAAAAGAGCTCAAAATGCATGAGCCCTTCAGCTCCTAGAGCTGCCTGCAGATAGGATTAAGAGGAGGAAAAATGATGCTTAATTCAGGGCTCATTCGGGGCTCTCTGCTTGGGGTGAAACAAATCATAGAATCATAGAATCAGCCTGGTTGGAAGCTAATGAAATGGAGCTAATTGAGGAGCTTGGGCCCAAAGCAGGATATTGGATGAATCCTGTTCTGGCTGGAGTGCGTGCTGGGCTGCTCCCCCATGATATTCCATGCCATCGTGTTCTCTGGACTTTGGACAGTGGAATCTCTGAGCTGGGGATCTCTGAGCTGGCTCCAGCCACTGCTCAAAGCACCAAATCTCTTTTTCAGCTGTGATTAACCCCAGTTAGCCCAGTGGGGCCATCCTGGCTGTGCTGGGAGTGAGCACTCTGCAGGCTCCAGCTCCTTCCTTTCCTCAATCCATGCTGCAGCACTAAACAAAAAGCCTTTGCAAGTGGTTTGGAGCAGCCTGGGCATGACACGGGGCTGGAAATCACGATGGGAACTGGTGGCCACGTCCTTGTTCATCCCCTTGTGCTCCCTGTTTCTGCTTCTGCTCAGGGCAGCTTCCCTCTCTGGGCAGTCCCAGCAGTGGGGAGACAGGCTGGAATCTCCTCAGGCCTTGGGGGGACCCTGCCATGGCTTGCAGCCCCTCACTGCTTGGTGTTCCCTTTGTGTTCATCCTGCTCCTCCAGGGCTGCAGCTCAGTCTAAGCTCATCCCAGGCTGCTGTGGGGATTTCCTTGGTGGAAAACCAACATGAAACAGGATCCACTCGCTGTGGTTTTCGCTTGATCTGGTGGTGCCTGTGTCCATGTCCCACATGGGGGGACCCTGCCATGGCTTGCAGCCCCTCACTGCTTGGTGTTCCCTTTGTGTTCATCCTGCTCCTCCAGGGCTGCAGCTCAGTCTAAGCTCATCCCAGGCTGCTGTGGGGATTTCCTTGGTGGAAAACCAACATGAAACAGGATCCACTCGCTGTGGTTTTCGCTTGATCTGGTGGTGCCTGTGTCCATGTCCCACATTTGCTCAGAGAAGCTCTGGCTGCCCCAGGAAGTGTCCTGTCCAATGTTGGACAAGGCTTGGAGCAACCTGGGCTCCCTCCCCATGGCAGGGGGTGGAATGAGAAGATCTTTGAAGTTCCTTCCAACCCAAACCATTCCATGATTCTGTCATCACTGACCCTCACTGCTCCCATACCCACAGCCTGATTTCAGCCCCACTTGGCTCACCCTGCTGTCACCAAGTGGGTGCAAAACCCTTAAATCAGCTGTGGGGAACACAGAAAACTCAGAAGACACTTGTGTCATCGTGGTTTTGCACCCAGGGACGTTGAGAGGTGTCATCCCACAGCACTGAGCCGTGACCACCTGAGCCAAAGCTTTGCTTCGAGCAAAACATTTCCCGAAACTCCGAGCTGGGCTGTGTCCTTCAGCAAACACTTTTCAGTGCACCAACAGCACCCAGAAGGGCAACCACTTCCTCAAAGGCTCTGAGCAGTGTGGGAGCAGCTCTGGGTGGTGTGTTCCAGGCTGTGCTGCTGTGTCCTCCAGCAGCCGAAACACGGAGCGAGCAAAGCATCACCTGAGCATCGCTGGGAGAGCCAGACAAGAGCTTGGCAGGAAAGTACTTTTATGGGGTTGTTCAGGGCTGTTCTCAGAGGGAGGAGGAAGTCCGTTGGCAAAGCAGCTCTCGCCGAGCGGTTGCTCTTGGTGGGGGGATCACCCCTGGGTGCAGAACCCCCACGGGACCATCAGAGCTTTGTTTCACCTATCTCCTAACCAAGCTTCCCCTTGGAGAAAAAAAACCAACCACCTTCCTGATCCAAAATGTCCCTCAAGCTGCCACGGAACTGGGATTTCAACCTGAAGATGGATGCTGCGAAAATAGGTACCGTGAGCCTTTCTTTGTCCCCTTCTGTGCCTGCCCCAGTGGCCAGGGGTGAGTTGGGGGCTGTGGGGTGGCTGTGGCTGAGCCTGGCTGTGATTTTTTTTGGCTGTGGCCTCGCTGGGGGGACCTGGCCCAGCTGCTGCTTCCGAGGCAGTGGAGGGTTTGCAGATGATTTGCAAGAAGTGATTTGCAAAGTCTCACTGAGGGATGCTGCGGGAGCAGGGCTGGGGGACCAGGAGGTCCTGGCAGTGTGGGGCTGCTGCTCCTCCCAAATCCAGTTTGGGGGGTTCAATCCCCATGGGCACAAAGCCTTGCAGGGGGTGAAGGGCAGGTTGATGGAGGACACAGGCTGGAGGAAGCAATCTCACCCTTGCTCAGGTCTCTTCACACCCTCTGACATCACTGGTTTCCTCTCCCAGGGCTGTGGGACAGCTTCACCTTGTGACTCCCTGACCCACCTCCTGCCTCTGCCCAGGCTTTGTGAGGCTTCAGCCAGCATGGGATCCTCTTGAGAACACTTTGGGAAGGAGTGTGGGATCCCTGTGTGGACTCTGAGGCTAAAATATCACGGCAGGGTCAAGCAGCCAGGGAGGGGATTTGGGGGTGATGATGGTGTGGCCAAGGAGAGGGTGCAGAGCCCAAAGCTCTGCATGGCCCTGGCACTGTGTGTGGTTTTTTTGGTGTGTGTGGGCAGAGACCTGGGCCGTGGGCACAGCTCAGTGCATTGATTCTCCTCATGCTGTGAGACCAGGCCCATCTCCAAGGGTGTAGTGAGGATGTGACTCTACTTGTGGAAAGTATTTGCAAATCAGTGGTCACTGCTCTCTCTTGCCCCTCCCAGCCTGGGGACACTTCCCCCTGCTCATGCCCAGCCCTGGATGTGGCACAGGCAACTTCTGCCAGCCCCAGGCCACTGCCCCAGCTCCTTCCTCATGCTGAGGGAGCTGCAAAGCTCTTGATCTCAATGAGATTGAAATTTCATTGTGAGACCTATGGTGGCACTTTGACTGGTTTTTGCTGGGAGTGTTGGCATCTCTCCTGCAGAGCAGGACCAGGGGAGGGCAGGGAGGGCTCTCACCCAGGACAAGGGGCTGGGGCAGGAGGCAGCATTGACGTGGGCACCGTGGTGACATCCTCTGCCATTTCTCCTGCAAGTCATGCTTGGCAGGACTGTTCTTCTCAGGGAGTGGGCAGCAGGACATGGGGCCCTGCCACGGCCAGGCCCTGGGGCTGGAGGAAGAGTGAGGATGTTTTGGAGGAAATATTCAACCTCAGAGGCAGTTACCACAGGAAACGCTTCGGGAGGCACCTCCTTTGTTCTTGGTTGCTCTTTCCTGCCCTGTGAGAGCATCAGGAGGAGCAGGACCATGAGTGCCCATGCATGATGTGTTGGTGAAGGAGCTGGTTGCAAGTGTTAGGCTGTACTGGTGAGAGCCAAGGGAAAAAGCTTCATCCTCACCCCACATCCAATTTGGTCATCACACCTGAGCTGGGCATTGCACTGGCCAAAAAAAAGGTAGAAACTTGGAAGATGGATAAAGGGAGGAGCCACAGCCTTGGTGGTTCTGGTTTTGTGAAAGCAGAAAACTTTCCACTGGGCAGAAATAGCCTGGTTGTCTGCAAAGCCAAGGGCTCCCAGCAGCTCTGTCCCCACGAGCAGGGAAGCCAAATTTCCCTGGAGTCCTATCACTAGTTTTGCCCTAAAGCCATAACTGCTGACTCTGCCCAGAGGGGTTGGCATTGGAGGTCTGCAGTGCCTGGTCCAGAGGCAAAAATCCAGGCTGGAAATGATCCCTCCTGAGGCATTTACTCTCACAGAGGCATTGAGAGAAGCACTGGGCACTGATGGGACTCATCGATGCGACGCAAACAGGGCACAGGGACACTGCTCTGCCCACTGTCTAATCCATGCTGGCACTTCTTCCCTCCTTGGAGACTTTCCAATCCCATAGTGTGAGCTCTGCCCCATTGGAAACATCAGGTGATGTTCTCCTAGAACAAAACTACAACTTCCAAACAGTTTTTCCCAGCTAGGCCGGGTCAGTGTGCGATCGCTGCCGCAGGCGCTTCGGGGTGGGTACAACAACACACACTCCCATTAGAAAAAAAAAAAAGAGAAAAACAAGCTAATGATTTTTCTTCTCACTTGCAAGACAATTACTCCCACGCAGGAAAAAGGAAGCACATACTGACAGATACTGCAGCCACTTCCTTTGAAAACTTGAGCCAGTTTGCTCTGCAGAGCGACGGGGCACAGAGTCGCGCTCGCGGCTGCGGCTCAGGGCAGCCCCTGGCACGTCCTGGTGCCCACCATCCCTCTGTGTCCCCTGGCAGCTCGCTCCAGGAGTGTGATGAGTGGGGATCCCACACAGCCAGGCTCCCCTGGCACACTGGAGAGGCCCCTGAAGCTTGGCTGGCTGAAGAAACAACGCTCCATCGTCAAGAACTGGCAGCACAGGTACTTCGTGCTCAAGGGGCAGCAGCTCTACTACTACAAGGATGAGGATGATGCCAAACCACAGGTAGGATGATGTGCTCAGTCTCTCCCGTGTTGGGAAATGAAGGCTGAGAGAATTGGGAGTGATCAGACTGGAGAAGAGGTTTGGGGGGACCTAATTGTAATCTTCTGGTAGCTGAAGGAGTTATGAGAGAGACTATTTACAAGGGGCTGGAGGGACAGGGCACAGGGAATGGCTTCACACTGGCACAGAGTGGGTTTAGGTTGGATATTGGGAAGAAATTCCTCCCTGTGAGAGGACTCTGAGCACAGCCTGGGTGTGAGGACCAGCCCAAGGCACAGCTGTGCTCGGGGCTGGGCTGACCACAGCCAAGGGCAGCTGCTTCCTCAGGACCTCCTGTCACGGGAGAGGCAGCTGGAGGAATAAGGGAAGGAAATCTGTCTGTCTCTGGCCTCTGGGGTGGTTTGTATCCCAGCCCAGCCCCATCCTCCACAGGAGGCTCAGTGGTGCCAGTGCCATTTCTGTTCTTCAGCCTCTGCCCTGGAGGAAACCTGCCCTGCTGCCTTTTCCTCTAGGGCAAGAGGCTTGAAACCTGCTGGACACTCAGTTCTTTTGTGATCCTCAGGAGAAAATGACTAGCACAACTAGCACCTGACCCTTTGCACACCACAGGAGTGTGATCATCCACTTGGGCATGGTTGAAACTTTCACAGCAGTGCCCGATGTCTGCAGTCCCCCAGCACCATCCCACCCTCAACTCTTGCACCAGTTCCATCCCACTCAGCCCCTCTGGGCTGTAACCAACCTCTGTCCACCCCATAGAAATCATTTCTCAGAGTATACACTCTGAGAAATACACTTACCTGAAAGAAATCAGGTGGTTTTCCAAATGTATATGGATAACTTTGTAGTTTTCCCACCGTTATCTCCATGCTGTAACTTCCTTTTTGAGTATTCACCATCTTTTCCTCCTTCAGAGAAGTGTCAGGGGAAGGTCCTTTGCTGGAAAAGCTGTTCCCTGTACAAAGACAGAAAAAAATTCACAAGGGGAAGGAGATAAGTGAATCCTCAGGATGGAACCACAGAGATGAGCCCAGTGGGATCCAGGTCCCATTTCTGGCTTTGCCCTGTTTTGGGGGGATGGGAAGGCACATCCCCCACTGTAAATGGGATGTAGAAACAGAAAGTGCTGTGTAAAGCTGATGGCTATTCATGGCACTTTGGCAGCTCTTGCTGTGACCCTGCTGTGCACCATCCTGGGTTGGTTCAAGCCTCTCTGGTCCCAGCAGAGACTCTGATGGATACAGCCATGGTTTAGGCTTTTGGAGCAGGGATGGTCCTGCTGCTCACAGGAGTCCTGTGGCTACCAGGAGGCTGAAATCACTGAGAAATTTCAGCCTCATTTCCTGCCCTGGGAAGCCCCTGGGGCTGCCTCACACACCTCTGGCCACTTGCCCCAACCCCTTCACCAGCTCCACAGGAAGATCCAACAGAAATGGCTGTTTTCCCCTTTATTTTCTAATCTCTCTTCCCTTTTCTTCTGTTTCTCTGCTCCTGCCAACGTTGGGATGGGTTTGGGGTTTAAGTGATGCTGTGTTAAAGGAACAGTTTTCCTGCTCTGGGGCAGCAGAAACAGGATGCTCTGCTGTTTTGCCAAGTCTCTGCTTTGTTCTCTCTCCTTCCACTCCCAACAGGAGCTAAAAACACATGAGAAGGGAGAGGGGAAAAAAAGAGGAAAGCACAAAAGAAGCACTTTTCTCATTCTGAGAGTCACTCCATTGGAAAAAATTTCTACTTATTGGCCCTTAGTGTTTGAAAAGTCTCTTTAGCATGTGTCCATAAGTACATAAAACATTCCTCCTGCCATGAGTTTGCAAGCTCCAAGCAGGAATTCCACCCTCAGTGCTGGCACAGTGTGGTCTCACAGAGGTGTTTGCAGCTCCTGCTCTCTCTGTCCTAGGGCTGCCTGTCTCTCCATGGAAGTACCATCAAGGAGGTGTCCAGCAACCCAGAGGAAGGAGGGAAATTCATCTTTGAGATCATCTCAGGTGAGGATGCTTCACTCCTATTGTTTCACTCCTCTCTGTTTCATGCTTTTGGGCTGGAATGCTCACCCAAAATCTTTTGGGCAAGTCATTTTGTTCCACTTCTTTCTAAAGTTCCCACAGTGTTTCATGTGGAAATGAGGGTGTTGGTGTCAGTATTCCCATGGCCAGGCTGGAGCAGAGCCCTGTGCCAGTGCCCATGGCCCATGGTGAGCAGAAGCTTTGCCCAGCTCCAACATGCAGCAGCTTCTGTTCCTTTCTTGCAGACCCTCAGCAAGTGAAATGTCAGTGCTGCTTCCTTTGCAGCCACAGAGACATCAATGAGGAGATTTGGAGCATTTAGCAAAGAAAACAACCAGAATGTGTCTTTTCTTCTCCAATCCTCTCCACAAATGTTCTGGTTTCTTTGCAGGGGTATCTGGAGACCAGAACAGGCCAGGGCAGGACACCTGTGTGCTCATGGCCAGCTCCCAGTCTGAGATGGAGGAGTGGGTGAAATCCATTCGCCGCGTGCTGGGGTCGGCGTCAGGAGGTAAAGGGGAGCAGGGACAGCTCTTGGAGGAGTGTTGAACCATCCTCTGGTGTCCTGCAGCACTTCTCTCTGGGGATTTCACAGCTGGGCTCAAATCATAGAACCATCAAAGTTGGAGGAAACCTCTGAGATCATCAAGTCCAACCCGTAACCTGTCACTGCTGGAACCCCTAAATTCTAAGCCAGATCCTCCAGTGTCCTCTTAACCACTTGCAGGGATGGTGACTCCACTGAATCCCTGACACTGGGACACAGAGCTGTAAGAAGTCACTTGTGATGCCCTAGAAATCTGCTCCTGGGCCAGAGCCTGTGGTGCAAACACAGGCAGTGTCAAGGAAACAGCAGCCAAGCATGAATGAACATTTCTAGGCTGGTTTCAACCTCTTTTTGTCAACTTCCTCCTTGACTTACTGACCCTGAAAACATTGTTCTTGAAAACAACTCACATTCAGGGATGAAGCACTGAAAAATGTTGCTTTGCACCTGCCAATTTCCTTGCTTTGCTTTCCTTCCAGCCTCACCACCCTCACAGGGAAGAATTTTTTCCCAATATCCAACCTAACCCTGCCCTCTTTCAGTGTAACTCTATTGCCCCTTGTCCTGTCACTGTGTGCCTGTACAAAATGTTCCTCTCCCTCTGTTTTACAGCCTCTTTTAGGCACTGGAAGGGGCTCTGAGGTCTCCCTGGAGCCTTCTCTGCTCTCTCAGCCTGCCAACACTGCTGGTTTCCCTCTGCATCCCTGAGCTTTTCTGCCTCTAATCTGAACCAGGCTGTGCCCTGGGGGATGGCAGCATCACCCAGCTGAAAAGAGGACTTAGAGCCAGAAGTTTTCAGGGCATTGCCCCAACTGGCACAGGACTCTTTGCCATCGATGCCCTGGAGCTGGTTTGGGTTGGGATCTCTCTGCTCTTACCCTGCCTCAGGTGAGGAGGAAGAGTTGAGCTGCCTTCCCACCTCTGAACAATTCTTTAGCTGTGGGAGTTCAGGAGGAAAAAGCCATTGCTGTGAAGGAAAGGTACCACCCACAGCAGAACAATTCTGTCCTTTGCCCAGGGCAGTTTCAGGAGAGGAGAAAAGCAACTCAGATCAGTGAGACTTCCAGCTCCAAATCTCTGCAAGGCTCTTATTTCTTAGCCATCCTCAGAGTTTTCTGCCCACTTCAGCCTCGTGTGATGAGCTTGCCTTCTCTCCCTGTGCCTTCCATCTCCCTCTCTTTCACACAAACAGGAGAAACTCAAGTCTCACTGCTTGGTGTTCATGATTTTGAGCATCGTTCGTTATTTGGAGGAGAAACACGATTTCCTTTTGCTCTTCTTTCTTTGGCAGAAGTTCTGCTTTCCCCCAGGTTTCAGGCTCCTTGTCTCCTGTGCTCTCAGAAGAGCAGGGACATCCTTTGGCAGGGGATGTGCCTCTGGCAAAGCCTTTGGGCTGCTCTGACCCTCTGCTCTCTCCCCAGCTGTGTTCGGGCAGCGCTTGGCAGAGACCATGGCCTACGAGCAAAAATTTGGGCAGCACCAGGTGCCCATCCTGGTGCAGAAGTGTGCAGAGTTCATCAGGGAGCATGGAGTGAGTGAGGAAGGAATCTTTCGCCTCCCTGGCCAGGACAACCTGGTGAAACAGCTCCGGGAGGCGTTCGACGCCGGAGAGAGACCTTCGTTCGACAGGTAGTGTTGGGTCTCCTCTCCTGCCCAAAACTCCCAAATCCTGTGCAAAACCAACTTGTGTCCTCCCCCAGAGAGCCCTGCAGGAAACCTGGAGCCTCCCCAAGGGCTCCAGAGAGCTGCAAGGTGCTGGTTCAACCTTCAGTGCCACCTCTGCAGCCTGGTTGGGTTTTTCCAGACACACTCACACACACAACCACATCAGGACTGAGTGGGGAGTGCTAAAAAGCTGTCACTGCATCCCAGGCACCCACAGTGCCTAAGATTTTGCCCTACAAAAATACAGCTCTGCAAAAAAAAAAAAAAATAAAAAAAAAAATCCCTCTGGGTTTAAATGCATTTGTTACAAATAAGAATATTTTAAAAGCTCAAAGCAATCCTAAAAATAACTGACCTGGGGGATTTTTTTTTTTTTGTGCTAGAAGTTTAGAACAGTTTAGCAACTTTAAGGTAGGTCAGATTAGAGGCTTATGATCTTGACAGTGTCCTTTGACATAATGTAAACTAGATGGAGTGTAAAGCTGCAAACATCTGTCCCAGCAGGACGTGCTCAGTCACTGCTGTGGCTCTGCAGCTCAGGCCATGGGGAGTGTGGCCAAACATGTGAGCCCAGGCAGGATCTGCACACAAACCCTCAGGAGCTCAGCAGGGGCTGGGAGGGCCCTGCCTGGAGGAGTAGGGACATGGGAGAAAGGTCTAGTTCACTTTTTCCTGGTTCTCTGTCACTTCAAATGCAGTGACAAGAACCAGTGTGATGCTCCAGACTTATGGGCTGGGATAGGCAGTTCCCATTCATTAAATAACATGGATTCATTGCTGTCCAGTGGGGGAGGAAATGTCATTTTAGGTTCACAAAGTAAAGGGGAGAGACTGAGACAACACTGTCTGACCCTTTTGTGCAAGGGTCAGCAGCTGCTGGCTCTGACTCCTGGTTTCCCACAGCCTGAGTGCTGGAGCAGCCAGGAGAACCCTCTGCCAGGGTCCAGGTCTTCCCAAGGGCAGGGAAAGGGCAGTTGGGTAGAGCTGGGACACTGGGAGGAGACAGGAGATGTCTTGGTGAATATCTTGCCATCCCAGCTCAGCCTGGATCTGGATACTGGGACCTGCCACCTCCACAGTGGGGAAAATCTGCCCCAAGCCTTGATTTTCCTGCCATCTGGGGCCATTCCCTGGTTTGGAGTACCCTCTGGGTCCCTCCCAGCTTGCTCTGGCCTCCCTGTTTATCTCTCTTCTACCCTCAGGGCTCAGCTGGAGCCTGACCCCCTGGCTCAGGGCAGGGTTGGCTCAGTGCTGGCTCTGAGTCCCACCTGAGCAGCTCTCTCACGTTGCAGGGACACAGATGTGCACACTGTGGCCTCTCTGCTCAAGCTCTACCTGCGGGAGCTGCCAGAGCCTGTGGTGCCCTGGACACAGTATGAGCATTTCTTGCTCTGTGGTCAAGCACTGGATGCTGAGGAGACAAAGGTAGAGCTGCTTTTGTGTTTCTCCTTCTGGCCTTAAATAAAATCAGCTGCATTTCAGAGCTGAGGGGCTGGGTGCATATTAACTGGGCATTATCAGCTGTGTAAGTCCTGAGCTTTGGAATTTGGGGCAGGAAAAGGTGTGAAAACCAGGATAGAAGGGAAAACAAACATCCTGCAAACTCCACCTGCCTGAGCTGAGCCAGAGGGCTCTGGGGGAGGCTGAAGAAGGAAGAGAGGATTTGGGACAGGGAAAAGTATGAAACTGTCTTTTCCTAACTATATATTTGTGCCCTCCCATTGCACAAAACCCACTCTTGGCTGCTGGTCCTATACATAAAACCTCCTTGCTGAGCACCCTGCAGAGCTTCTCCATCTCCATGCTTGGCCTGCTGGAGAAATGTGTAATTTCTGTGAATCTAGAGCTGTTTCTTAACTTGCTTTTAGGGCCACCAGGAACTCCTGAAGCAACTGTCCCTCCTTCCCAAAGACAACTACAACCTCCTCAGCTACATCTGCAGGTCAGTCCTCTGCACAAGGTGTAAACAGCTCAGATTTGGTGTTGGTGAGCAGAATTGTCATCCCAAAGGCTGAGCCTGACTCTTCCAGACTGAGCCCTTGACATTTTTCAGCTGTGTTTTGGTTCCCCTGAAGGCATCAGGTCCTGACTTCTGTAGAGGGAGAATTTCAGGCACAGGGATAAACACCTACAGAGTGTCTAAGCATAAATCACTCCCCTAAACCTCACTTAAAAATCTCTGAGAATTAAAATCAGGTGTAGTTTTCCTAGACAAAACCTTGTGCTCCAAAGCTGGTTTCACCCAGCTTGGGTTGTTTTTCTCAGCTTAGAGATGAGATTAGAGGTTTCCCTTCCTTTTTGATCTGTTTTTAGGGTGGTTTTTCTTCTGAAACCACTGAGACCCATTTCCAGCTCAGCACTCTTTATGTCTCAGCAAACTTTATGTCCTTCTGACTGGGAGGAAGAGCTGGATGGAGCAATCAGGATTTTACACTGGTGGATGTGTAAGGCTTTTTGCAACCTTCCTCCTCTGATGTGAAATATTTACCCTTGAATTCTGGCAGGTTTCTGTATGAAATACAGTTGAACTCTAGTGTCAACAAGATGAGTGTGGATAACTTGGCGACAGTGATTGGAGTGAACCTCATTAGGCCCAAGATAGAGGATCCTGCAACTATTATGAGAGGTAAAAGGGATTCCTGGAATAACTGACTTGCTGAAACACTCAGGAGCATCCACAATCCTGACACTGCAGTTTTCTGTGGTAGATTTATGGACATAAGCCAGAAACATGCCTGGACACACAAAGTACAGCAGGGCAGAGTCAAGCCATGTTTAGGCTGTAAAGGTGTTTATAGGGACAAAAACCCTTAGGAGTTGCACTCTCTGTTCCCTCCATAGAGTTCAAACAATTCAGGAATCTGGTGAGGTCATCTTTGAGTTGCTTGGAGCAGGAAGGTGTAAGATTCTTCTTGGAGAAACAAAGGAAACTCCAAGCAATTAGTGTTGAGCTGAGCCAAGCTGTGACCCTGTGGGCAGGGACAGATGGAGCAGAACTGCTAAGTTTTCAGGCCAAAGGCTGCTCTGCTCTACAGACATCGCAGGAAAATACTCCACATATTCACACACCTCACATCTGGGCTTTGCTGTTGAGCCAGAGTCATGATTTGTGGCTTGGTGCAGCTGAGCAGAGACTCCCATGATTGCTCCATATCCTATATGGGAGATAGAGAAATCCTTCCCTTCCTTTGGCTTTATGATCCTGCTCCTTTTCTTCACCTGCACTTCTACATTCATCTCCAATCTGGACAGCAGAAGGACCAAGCAGGTGTGGGTGAGAGGAACTCTGTTGGGTTGGGTTTGCTGCTGACACATCCCTAATCCTTCCAGGCACACCACAGGTCCAGAAGGTGATGACAGTGATGATCAGTGACCACGCAGAGCTCTTCCCCCCATCCAAGGATGTGCCTCCCTCCCCTCCTGCCTCCCAAAGTGAGAAGAAAGCTCCTGTCCCTCGCAGCTCCGTGGGCTGGGGAGCAGCAGAGGCCCCTGCAGTGCCCAGGGCTGTGAGCCTGGGCCAAAGGCAAATGGTAAACTGAGATCCCCAGGGAAATAATCCAACCTGCACTGAATAAATGTTGTGTTCATTTGTAGACCTAACAGGGCAGCAAGGCACTAAGAGCACTTGCTATTAATAAAGAGCTGTATCTGTCAGCCCTGGAATATTTACATCAGGAAAATGATGTAGATAAACTTTCCACTTTCCTGTGGAAAATCTACTGTTCTAGGGAGGAAAAAAAAAAAAAGAAAACTCCCAAAGCTGTTTAGCCTAAAGAGCAAAAGATGAAAAGATGTGAAACCTCTTTGGTTCAGCCTGGTAAAGGGAAAACACTGAGGATTAAAGGCTTTTCTCAGAAAATGGTTTGGGAAACATGATGCAATCCAGAACAGTTTTTTAATGGAAAACTTGTGGCCTTTCTGCAGTCCTAGCAGTGGCTGCCACCTGTCTGCTCCTGTCCTAAGTCTCTGCTCTGCTCTACAGAGGGGTGACCCCAGTTCCTGCACTGCCCCTGGACCAGCCACGAGCTCAAGTGCCCCAGGGGAAGATAATGAGTCCCAAGATGCACTGGGAACGTGGAAAACACAGGCAAGGAAAAGAACTCAGACTTTACCTGCGAGGAAATCTTTCCTGACAGCTGCTGCTCCAGGGGAGAAGGGCAGCAAGGAAAAAACTGATGTGTTTGGCCGTGACTTTTGGAAAAGCTCCTCTGGGAGCAGCACACACTCCATGGTCACTGATGGGCACAAGAGAACGTTGTCTCATGATCTTTTCAAGCTGCTGGACCTGCATCGTGCTGTGACCTACGACAACATTCCCACCCCCCAGGCAGAGAGGGGGGAGGGCAGCAGCTCCAGCCCCAGCCCTGCCAGCAGCATCTCTGACAAGGAGTTCCTCCCCTGCCCCAGCCCCAGCCATGAGCCCAAGGAACCAGCCAGTGCCTTCAGCAGCCCTGCAGATGTGGCCAAGCCTGAGCAGGAGACCAGGGAGTTCCTGCAAAACACCATCCTCAGGCTGGAAAAGGAAATGGAGGCACAGAAAAATGACTTCCAGGAGCAAATTAAGAGGTAAGTCGCTGCAGGGAGCTGCTGCCTGCAGAGTTGGGTGTCTGCAGCTTGGGCTGTGCCAGCAAAGAGTGCAGAGATTTATTCACCAGCACCACAGGATGTAAAGGGAATGATTAGTGATGAGATAAAGTGTTTAGTAGACTCTAGAAAAACCAGTGTCCTGTGCTGTGCTCTCATGGCACAGTGCCTGATGCTGTAGTACTGCAATATTAATATTCTTAGCTCTAGTCACATCATTATATACCATTGCAATGCTCCAGCAATAATGACACTGTCCTAACTCTTGTTACCACCACAATATTGTGCCATTCTACTCTCCAAATCTGGTAGCAGCACTCTAACATTACTAGTTGTGAGCAGCAGTGTCATATAGCTTCATATAGCATTAGAATCTCATCATCTTATCACTGTTATCATACAACCAACACACATATATTGTGTATGGATTTCTTGCACCAAGTTCTGTGGCCACTGAGGGGATCAGGTCAGAACTTCTGGCTTGTTTTATTGCTCCAGGACACAGAGGTCAGACTCCTGAAGGAACCAAATGTTGGTTCTCCAGCACTTTTCCAAACCAATCCTTTTCTGCTGTTTCTCTTTGCAGCCTCGAAGAGGAAAACTTTGAAGTCTGGGCCAAAGTGGTGAGGCTGAACCAGGACATTGAGAAGGAGAAGAAGAAGTCTGAGGAGCTGCAGCTGAAGCTGGTGAACGTGGAGCGCTCACGGGAGGACGTGGAGAAGAAAAACAAGATGCTTGAGGAGCAGATAAAAATTTTAGCTAAATCCACATTCAAAACTGATGCCAAAACCAACTAGGAATCACCCAGCTCTGCACAGGCACAAAATGCAGCTGCAGAATGCACAGGAATTGCCAAGCAGGGGCAGAGCCAGGGACTTGTATTGTCCTGTGTTCTGCACTGAGCACAGGTCCACCTGGGGGAAGGAGTCCAGAGGTTCCAGGCTGGTTTATACTCAGAAACAGGAAATTCAGATGTGTTCTTTAGCTTTTTTGGATGTGTTTATTTCAGCTCCTCTTTCAGCTGTTCTCTGGAGAACAGGCCAATTCTTCCTGCTGCTCAGCCAGTATCTTGCACTCAGGAGTTTGGGCTATGGACACATTATACCTTTACAAAGAGAAACCAGCCTGAATCTCTCCTCCAGCCTCTGGCTCCCTGCTGGAGATACCCCCTGTGCTTTGAGAGGAGCAGAGAGTCCTTCAGTCCTGGATCCAGGGAGAGGGAGGAGCCCCAAGGCCTGGAATGGCACAGCCTGTTGCACAGTGTGCCTGGATGGTGAGCTAGAAATGCTTCCAGCACCTTGGGTGAGGTGTTTGCATCAGTCACACAGCTGGTTATTGCTCTCATAGAGCAGGACAAACCCATGGGAGAAGAGATCTCCTACCTGCTGTGCTGTGCCTGTCTGATGGCTCCAGGTATGAAGTCCCAACACCACAGAAACCTCTTCAGTTCAGTGGCTGTGCACTTATTTCAAGCCTCTGTTCCCCAGAGCCATGTGTGCCCAAACCCAGCACAGCTGATAAAGCTTTGGGAAACACTTTGACAATCCATACTCAGAGAGCTTTGTGCAGAGGGAATCCATCAGCAGCTTTCCCAGCACAGTAAATGGATTTCTGCACTTTCCCTGATGGACAGTGTTCAAAGAATGACAGATCTGGACTTTTTAACTGCCTCTGCTTTGGCTTCTCATTGTTTCCACAGAGCAGAACAGGATTTCCTCAGCCACCTTTGCACCCCAGAGATGATGCTGAGTCTCTGCCCATCACTTTCTGCCATCAGCATAAAGACTACCAGGCCCCAAAGATCTCAGTGTGGCTGTTCATGACCTTCCCTGCTTGTTTCCCAGCCCTGCCAGCAGTACCACGAGGCCTCTGAGCCTTTCAGTGGAGGAAAGAAAAATAAGAGGACTCTGCAAGAAAACCTTTTTCTCCTCATTTGTCTTGAGAAGGTGGAAGAGCAGCACACAGCCCCAGCCCAGCCTAGAGCCTTTGTGGGGACAGAAAAGGGAAGAAAACCACAGAGATCTGCAGGAGTTTTCAAGCAGGACCAACCAAGCACAGGGAGGTGAATTCCTCAACTCTTGCTGCTGAGGACTTGGATTTGGGGAGGCAAAAATTCAGCTCAAGACCAGACTGCAGAGCTGTCTGACAGAGCCTGGAGGAGAAAGGAACTGGTGAGAGAAAGGGACATGGAGGAAACTGTGAAAAAAGGGGAGATGGGAGGGGGAAAATGTTACTGGGGAATAAAAGTCAAGACTGGGTGTAAAGCACTTGCTGCTCTCAGCTTTGTTGGGGGGTGGGAGGTCTTGTCTAGCCCTAAAAGTGAGCCCAGATTCCTCAGTCTCAGACTGAGGTTCAGTTTAGTGCACTGAACCCACCTCAGCTGAGCTGTGGATGCAAAGTACCAGTGGAGGAGGTTTGAGAAAGTCAATGTGTGTTTAAAAATCCAACCCATCAATAGCTCATTTAGCTCATTTACAGCTCATAAATGCTGACTCCAGGTGGTTTTCCTTCCCATGGGATCCCCAGAGACTGCACAGCTTCTCATTGTTCCACGTTCCCAACATGTTCCTCCATGTTCCCAACACTCCAATCCAGAGGTTTCCCAAGTGCCTTCGAGGTGCATTTGCCTGTCTCCATTCCAGAGCAGCTGCTTCCATTCACAGTTCCCTCCTCTGACTTCAGGTGACCTTGAACAGAGCTGCTTCAGGGTTTATTTAATTCCTCACCTTTGCAAGAAACTCATCCCTAATTTGAGCATCAGGCTCAGGAGTCATTAGGGAGAAACACCACAAACATCTGGGCTGGAAAGGCAAAGATCAAAAGTGTGAGGAGGCAAATGATTCCCTCACAGGAGTCTGTGATGACGTGCAAAGGCTTGGCTGAGACCCTGAAATCTCCATGATTAGGACAAGTGCACATGATTTTAGTATAAACTGTGTATTCCTGCACTTCCTCCCAGATAGGCCAAACTGGCTCTGAAGATCAGAGTGGCCTCTTTGAACATATTCCACCCATTAACATTTGGAGTGTTTATAGAGGTCATCTGTAAAAGATAGACTTTCTAAGAGAGGTCAGGTGGGCTGGAAATTCCAGAGTGCCTGGAGGGAGGAACAGCCTGGGAGAGCAACGTGGGCATCAGTTGGTGATGCTGTAAGATGAGGATTTCCCTTTCTCTTAAATTGGGCTTTTTCCAGAGGCAGAGAAATGTGGATATTCCCATGTCAAAGCTGTGAACCTGCATCCTTTGCATCCCTGAGGGAGTATCCTCTCTGCTCAGAGCCAGAGCTGAATGTTGGCACTGCCTAATCCTACTCTGGATTTCATGCACTTCCACATCTTCTGTTGGAGACATCACAACATGAGATCCCCAAAATTTCAGCTACATTTCCTTCCTCCCTCTTTTTTTTTTCTGCAGCCAATCCATGAAGCTTTTTGGGGAAGGAGTACCAGAGAGTGTCCCTCCTGTTTTTCGGGCAGGAGTTGCTGCTCCAATGTGGTGCAAGGGACACTATAAACTCACTGAGAATAAATCCTGTGGAAAGATCCTTTTCAACCCTGACCTGAGCACTGTAGGCTTGGAAATTGCCAGAAAGGCAAGTTTTCAGCCTTTCAACCCTCCCACAAGAGCATCACCAAGGTGATAACCCACAAATCATACTGAGGCTTTTCCTCTCCCTGTAACTGTCATTCAGCTTTCCAAATTAAAGCAAACAAGCCACAGCTCTCAATGCATCTAAAGCTGTCAAACCATGCACTGTAGGGTGAAAATATGACATTCTTTAGGCTGCCATCTCAGTCCTCTCCACAGTCTTTGTGTCAGAGCAGAAAATCAGTTTTGCTCTTCCCAGGTATTTACTGCATTCGCTTAGGATTCACTTCATTGTCTCTGAGGGTTTTTGGTAGTGTGTGAGAGACAAAAAAGTGCAATCATCCTTCCCACATTATTCCCTTTGGAGTCTGAGCCAGTCACGCCTTTTGTGACTTATCCCCTCCTATTTATCAAAGTTGCATTTTTGGCTTGAGAGTAACTTTCCTTTTTTAGCTTGGCTACTGCCCAGAGGAGCACGTTGCGAGGTGGACGTGCAGAAAGTGTCCAGCCATGGCTGAGCAGTGCCTTGTCCAGACCTCAGGAGCAGAGAGAACATGTTGTTCTCCCCAGCAATGCCAGAGTGATTCAGTCCATCCTTCCTTTGGGTGGGAGCTGAAAGACACCCCCAAACCAAGCTGCCTCTGAGAAGAAAATGCTGCCACATGGAGTGTATGGATAGCTGCTCCCTAAGGTGGGGTGAAAACATCCCAAGCCCTGGGAGCAATCCTAGTCCTGTTTTCCCTGTGTTTTCCTGCCACCTTGCTGCAGCACAGGGATGCTACGAATCCAGCCCATCAAAGTGGCCTGGAGGAAAAATATCCTGGGAAAAAAGGAGCATCCTGATAAGCCCAGGGCTCGTGGGAGCAGGAGGAAGCAGTCAGGGTAGCAGGGGCAAGAATTGTCCAAATCAGCACTTGTTTGGAGAAAATGATTATCAGTTCTAGCACATAAAACCTGCGAGTTCAGGAGTTCTGTTATTCAAGCAGAGATGCCCTGAGTGTTTTTATGGTGAGCACAGAATCTCCAGCTGGGACAGCTTCTTCCCAGGATTGTTCACCTTGCCAAGAGTTCACTGCATGTACAGTCCCACCCTGAATAGTTCATCCTTTGGGTTGGTTTCCTTTGCAAGAGTTTTTCCAGCAGGTAATTCCCCCAAACAGAAGTGCTCAGTGGTTCACTGGGAATTGGGTTCCTTAAGGAATCAGGTTTATAACATCAGCTGAGTCTGGTGGTGTGAATTTGGGGGTGATTTTCCTGCCCATGAGTCTGTAGGGCAGAGCAGAGACCTCTGTGGTGCTGCCACTGCAGAACTCCAGGGTGTGCTCAGCCTTCAGCAAACCTCAGAGAACTCACCAAGCTGGAAAGGGAAGGAAACATCCTGTTTGCCTCTGAGCCCATCATGTGAGGAAGCTTCACAAAAAGGCCTTTTCATCCACAGCCCTGTCCAAAAGGTCTCCCCATGCCCAGAGAACCCAACGAGCCTGTGTGTCTGCAGGGACCGATGCTCCCGGCGCCGTCAGCAGCCACTGGTGTGGCCTGTGAAAATTTGCTTTATCACGTGTAAAAACACGATGTGATGTTTCATCCCTCTTCACACAGTGTACTGATGACAGGGACTGGGACCAGGGCGACTTTGCTTTACCCTCACCAGCTGCCCCAAACGTTTGCTGTGCCCAAGGAGCCATTTCCAAGGGAGGCATGGGCAGGTGGTGATCACTTCTTGAAGAAACGAGGAGAGGCATCAGCTTGGCACCTGCTTTCTGAGCATGTGAGAGGTAAATCTCTCCTTTCCCCATGGCATTGCCTTGTTTCCTTCCTTGTCTCCCTGATAAAGGCTGCACAGTCCAGCCCGAGCGACTCGCTCGTGCTCCACGTGCTCTGGATGAGATCCACATCCAATTCCGAGGGCCAGTGGAAGTTTGGAGTCTTTTCAGTAACACCTTTACACGTGTGGCCCTTCCCAGGGGGCAGGGGATGGATTTCTGGATGCTGCCAAGTGTCCCCTCCTCGTGCATCCACATTTCTGATGCCACTAAAAATCTGGTGCTTATTTTAAGTGCTGAGCTCTATGGAAATGCCATTCCAGACAGAGTCAGGAGGTCAGCCAAGCACCCCAAGGACAGTTGTTCCCAACACAACAGCTACAGGCAGTGCTGAGGACTGAAAGGTCAAATTTCCACTGGAAACAAGTGTTGTCACACCGTGGGA